CGTACTGTCTGAGACCATACTTTGAGGTATCCTCGTAATAATCTTATTATTATACATCTTTTCCTTCCAAGGATACATCATGGGAATGCTGAAATCTAAAAAGTTTAGAACAGAATCAGCGAACTTTGTGTGGAGTCCGGTTAAACTCTGGTGGCATCCATGTTTTTTTATTATTATTAGACAACGCCTACGTGCGTAATCATTCAATATTCGAAATTCGCATTTCCTTATATGGTAGGATGAAAATACCCAGTAAAATACCGCAAAATTACGGCACACTGTGACTTATGGCGTTACGGTGACAGATGTATAATAATACATTTTACTACTATATTGGACAGACGTTCTGAGGCTAACTGACCTGTAGTTATCACCATTGCTGGATTGTTTTGACCTTTTTGCTGCAATTCACTATGTATTTCCTCACCACCAAGCTGTACAAGCCGCTGACCAAGCTGCCCATAACCTGAAATTATACGTATTGTTATACTCACACAGAGACACAGCATTAGGCCTTCTAGTTTGTATAACCTAATTAATTTTGTTCAACATCGATAATGTTTTTTCAATCACAATTCTTAATTGCTTCAAGTCCATCTAAACGAATCATCGGCCTCGTATTTAGTTTTTATTGATGTAAATTATAGATACAAAAGTCAAGATTGTTAATATCACTTACCTAATTCATGACTAATTGTATTAGCAATACTGTCTACTTGTTCTTTAATTATGTCACCTTCATAAACATATATCTGTGTACCACCAACTGTAATCGTATCGTGTGTTGCAGTTTTTGAACAAGGTGGTGCACTTTCTGTCGCTACATACAGAAAGATAAAAATATTTAATCAATTTTCCGTATAAGATTATAGATATACAAATGAAGCTCGACAGAAACATCACGAGAAATTTGGCGCCCTTGTGCAATTTACTCGACTCTGACCCAAGTAATTTGTTTTTATCTGTGAACCCACATTTTCGAGTAAGTTACTACGAAAAACTGAAAGATTTAGCAATTGTTGCATTGCCAGTGCACAGTTCTGAATGTATGCGAATTTGTATAAATGCAAACGACATATTGCCACTTGACTTGACTTTGTTAATACCATTTTGTCCCAGGAAACCTAATTGCAAATGCAACAGCTCAGTCGTTAGATGCTCTACTTGCTTTGGTTAATGTTTTGAGTCCGAACCGCGTGCTTGGCCAACGTTTTCAATAATTGAGGAAGACGTATGTCTTCACCTTAACTTCAGACGTCGCACTGCGACTATACCTGCTCAGTCTTAGTCAAGGTACAGGGTATGTTTTACAAGAGCAGTTTATAATATATGCCATAGTTATGTATTTATTATACTGCCTAATTACAAAATATGCCACAGTAATCTGTAACAATAACATTTGTTATTTGAATGCAATAAATATAGCTATTATAGTCTGCATATGAAATACAATAATAAGCATGTCAGACATATGGATCCAGAACTGCATTATTTAATCCAACGTTACCGTCAGTTGGCCTTTTTGAACCCGATCCAAAAAAATAAAATGACGTGAAACAATTGCCCATTGCCTCTCAATGTATGTACCAAGTTTATACACAATCCGTCCACTCACGGCTAAGATCTTCTTCCGGAATGGTGAAAAAGAGCGATTTTCATGGCATTATGGCTGCCATTTGGCCAATTTCAATTGGATAAAATGCCGGATGTATCTGGCGAAGTTCAACTTAAACGGCGCAGGTATATGCTAAATACATGTCGACGCGCGGACGGACGCATGAACACATGCATGCAGGTCAATCTACAAATCGCCATTTTGGAACCACAACCGAACGGGAACTAAAAACAAATATTTCAGTTCTTTACCATACCTTTTAATTTAGAAGTATCCTCAAAATAATCATTAACATCGTCCTCAGCAGATACAACCGATGATCCAGGAAATGTGGACATTGCGAATACACCAGTCAACGCTGTATGTTTTTCTTGAAGAGCATTCAAAAACGGTTGTAGATGTGACGGTGTTACCGGCCAAATAACGATTTTTATTGATCTAAGGCATGTAGGTGAGCTTCGTACTGCATACTCCACAATACCGTCTAGCATGCCACGTGCAACATCAATTACATTGCGTTTAGCCGAACCTAGTTTAAAAAAAAACAGTGCATACGTGTAGTTATACATATTGAATACACACAACTGCCACAAATTACACTATATATATTGAAGGTGCTTTCCACATACCCGTTCCTATTGCAGGTAATGCTATGGATGTCATACCGTCGGTTTCCGCCAGGGTAAGGCATTTCAAAACACTATCCTTCATTTGGTTATCTGTTGGAATCTTTGTGTGATAAATGCGCTTGAATTGCAGGGTGCCTGGTCCTGAAAGGGGACGTTATGAAATCAATTCAGCATTTTTTTTAAATATTTTTTTAATTAACTAATTGGTGAAATAAAATGCGCAAATGATTGAGAATTGAGCAATAAATATGTGTAGATTTCAGCTTCTGTTTAATGTATCATCATATCGCATTTTGGATTCTACACTAGCATCTAATTATATTTATCATACCTTTGCTCGTATTTGGACAATACTTTACGTTATTGCTGTTACATTATCATGAGATATACTTTGTGTGTCGTCTGTATGATCCAATCTAGAGAAAGGCACGCATCCTTGTTCAGGATCACGACGTTCAAAGTTACTAAATTAGCCGGTAATTCAGTCGGGTATTAAAAGCATGATAATGGTACAGTATAACAATTGTCATAATTCAGTTGCATAATAACTTTGAAGTTCATTTTACGTGCATAGAAACGATTAATTCAATATGGCGATGTGAGTCGTTTATGATTGTTGTAATACGTCTAAAGCAATTACACTACAACCTAACATTACACATTATGAAAATAATCTAAATACTATGAGGTTAGTACGAGGATACCTCAAAGTATGCATGAAGACAGTACGCCGTCGCATCAACCTCCGCTGCGCGTTGGTCGATACCTCCGCTGTACTGTCTTCATGCATATTATGAGGTATCCTCATAATAATCTTATTATTATACATCTTTTTCATCATGGGAATGCTGAAATCCAAAAAGTTTAGAACAGAATCAGCCAACTTTGTGTGGAGTCCGGTCAAACCCTGGTGGCATCCATGTTTGTTTTTTTATTATTAGACGACGCCTACGCGCGTAATCATTTCATATTCTAAATTCGCATTTCCCTATATCGTAGGATGAAAATACCCCGTAAAATACCGCAAAATTACGGCACACTGTGACTTATGGCGTTACGGTGACAGATGTATAATAAAACATTTTACTACTAGATTGGACAGACGTTCTAAGGCTAACTGACCTGTAGTTATCACCATTGTTGGATTGTTTAGACCTTTTTGCTGCAATTCACTATGTATTTCTTCACCACCAAGCTGTACAAGCCGCTGACCAAGCTGCCCATAACCTGAAATTATACGACGTATTGTTATATTCACACAGAGACACAGCATTAGTCCTTCTAGTTTGTATAACCTGATTATTTTTTGTTCAATATCGATAATGTGTTTTCAATCACAATTCTCAATTGCTTCAAGTCCACCTATACGAATCATCGGACTTTAGTTCAATTTAAATAATGGATACAAGAGTCAAGATTGTTAATGATGCCTTTTTATTTTTTAGATGGAACTGAATGGTCCCCGAGGGAAGTGCTCAATACCTTAGATAAGTTCTCTATTTGTTCAGAACCTCGCCCTAATTATGAAAAAACTAGTGTTATTTGGATAGGGAGTAAACGACATTGCCTTAATTAGTTTTTATCAGACAGAGGTTAAAATTGGATAGACAAACCTTTTCACGTACGGCGGGTCACATTTGATGTGAATTTAAATATACTATGTGACCTAAATTACATTCCCGCTATTAACGATATTAAAAAGTTGTTTAAGTCATGGGAAAAGAGGCACTTGACACTCATAGGAAAGTTACAGTGGTAAAAACATTAGCAATTTCAAAACTGGTTTATTTGTTGACAGTCTTCCAAACATGCCGGCTAATATCATCAAAGACCTGGAAAAAATAATTTCCAATTTTATTTGGAACTCTAATTATGATAAAATTAATAGAAATAGAATGTGCCTAGAATACAACGATGGTGGCTTGAAATTGACCCATTTATTATCATTTATGAAATCCATGAAATCATCCTGGATTTATAAATTACTCAGTGATGACTTTTATACATGGAAACAACTTTTTAATATTCAACTAAAGAAGACACATACGTTATATTAGACATACAGTATTGAGTGATAATCCATTTCGGAAAGATGTATTTACTGTATGAGAAGAATTTGTATTACCAAAACAGAAGCAGATTATATTGTAAATCAACCACTTTGGTATAACCCAGCAATATTGGTAGCAAATAACACTGCAACGTATAAGAATTGGCATCACAAAGGAATTGACGTAATTGGGGATTTATTGGATGAAAGTAAAAAATATTATGTCATTGAATATATTTAGCCAAAAATGGAATATTCCTTTCTTCAATATCAATCTTTATTACTGCAATCCCCCAAAATTGGAATACAAAACTAAAAAATAAATAAACAGACAACGTGTAAGACGGATGTCTGTTATATTCCCAGAAAATATATAAAACTATTTATAGTTACTACTTTCGTCCATTAGGTCTAAAAACTAAACCACTTACTGCTGTAAAAAGTGGAGCGAGTTCTTTTCTTTGCAAACTGAAGAATTTCAAGATATTTTTATTCTGCCATATAAAACTACGGACGATGAGAAATGTTCAATTTCGATTATTACATAGAATTACACCAACTAACAGATACTTGCATTTAAGAAATATGGTAGAGGATAAAAATGTTCTTTTTGTAGTTTGTAGAAAGATGTCATCATTTGTTGTTTGAACACAGGTAGATCATTATTTAGAGTTTAACGGCAATATTTACATACAATTTTCTCAGAAAGATATAATATTGGGCATACCTTTTTAAATTCAAACAGAAATCACCTCTCTTTTCTGATACTGTTTACAAAATTGTATATTATGCGGTGTGAATGGAAACAGGTGTAGCCAAGTATACAGGCATTGAAAAATACTTTGATTTTAACTTTTAATATTGAGTATTCCAAGTCCATACAGAAAGATTCTCTACATGGATTCAAAAGTATATGGGACCCTCTGTTTGATTCAATGGAGGTACTCTTAATTTTTACGGTGTTATGTTATTTTGTATTTGTAATGTTTTAATATTATATAAAAATAATATAAAAAAATAAATTAATAAAAAAGATTGTTAATATCACTTACCTAATTCATGGCTAATTGTATTAGCAATACAGTCTACTTGTTCTTTAATTATGTCACCTTCATAAACATATATCCGTGTACCACCAACTGTAATCGTATCGTGTGTTGCAGTTTTTGAACAAGGTGGTGCACTTTCTGTCGCTACATACAGAAAAAAATAACATGATATCTAATCAATTGTCCGTATTACTGTATTAAGATTATAGATATACAAATGTCACTCAATGAAAACATCACGAGATATGTGTCGCCCCTGTGCAATTTACTCGACTCTGACACAGACAGTGGGTTTATATATGTAATTTTCGGTATTTATGGTCAGATAAATGAAAATAAAACAACACGTACCTGCCATTATTGATGATCCTAAACGTCTACCTAGCTCAAGTTCGAATGCTGCAATTGATAGTGAATCAAACACAACCAGTCGGATATCCTACGAATTGTAAATAACACAATTACACGAAAATGTGAATCATAATACATATACCAAACACACTTTCAAAACTCAGAAAGTCATACATTACCTTGAGACTTGTTGACGGAGTATCGTTATAAAAATTGACTGCTTCTTCATACATAGATCGAGCAACTACATCTCTTGGAAAATTGTTCACGCGAGTGCCGATGGCCGGAATTGATATTGATGTATAACCAGATTTGGAGGCAAATGTCAGTGAATGTTGAATGACACGACGTAAACCCTGCATTATGTGAGAGTTTAAAAGTTAGAAATAGTATTAATTACCATTTTTGTAATTCGAATCTGACACATACCAAATGCACATATTAGGTATTGCAAGTGCGCATAAAATAAAAGAAGTTACCCACCTCTTCATCATTTTTACCAGGTGTGATAATATGATATATTCTTTTGCAGTGCAGATTATAACCTGGCGTATCAACTCCATGAACTGGGATTGAACCACCATGGCTCTGTAATAAGCCTTCACACATCTGTTGAAATTCACATTGCACATATATAGTTAATATATTACTTACATTATTGTTGCCTCAATGTCTGACAAATTGTTAAATATAAATGCAAACATTGAAACGAAGGAAGAGAAGGAGATGCTGATAGCAATACGTTAGAAACAAGTCAAGCTAATAGAGAAGTCAATAGAAATAAAATATTGACAGCATGTCCATGTGCAGATGGTATAATGTGATAAGCTAGTAGTTCTGGAAGAATGTGTAGATAGAAATACCTTCTTAAGATTGGGTCCGGCAGCCTTGCTCAAGATTCTACTGACTCCGCCTTGAAGGTTAAGGTCAGATGATGTGTTGTTCACAATAACATCGACCTACCATGAGAGAAATTGCCAATTTGCTTGTCAACAATACTTTTTTTAACAATGGATTTATTGAAAACATTTCAGTACATTAGACTGCCAATGCTGAATATTTTCATCTGAATAATTATATTTTATTGTGACTATTCGTCATGAACACAATGTAACAGTCAGTTACATATATTAATTGTCAATGCTTACATTTTCCTTTGCAATATTTCCTTTCACCAACGTAATACTTTTTCCTTGTGATAAATGAAGAACATTTGTTGGAGGTCTATTTTCATTTTCCATTTCATTTTCCTGTAAGTATAAGAGGTAATAAACATTTCTGTCTTAAGGATTAGGTAAACAACTTTACAGATTGAGGTATTTCAAAATATATACCTGTTCTAGTCGGAGTATTGTGGCTGGGTTAATCGTTGCTAATTGTTCATCAGTTCTAATAACATTCATAATACAGGGATACTGTTGGTGTATGCTTTTAATTATCGTTGATTCTGTCCCTTTATCGAACATAGCTGTTTTTCCTGTAAATACAATTTAATGTTATATATAATAACAACAGTAAGACTATATATACACATTATATACGCGTAGATTCATCGACTGGTTGAAATATAATAGGCTGACTCCACCACATTGATAACACGTGCAGCATACATAGATGAACTGTAACATGTACACTTACTTACCCTCAACATTAACTGACGATTCCAATATCGCTCTATTCATGCTATCTATTTTCGCCCGTGCTGTTTTAAGACCTCGTGAAGTTCCTCTCAGTGTTATTATTCCCTGTGCAACAGTTATTTTGACGAAATCGTTATCCAACTCTTCTTGTAGACGAATGAGTGATTCTTTGTTGTGCTGGTCTAGAAAATCTAGCTTAGCAGGGTGAAATTTCATTTGAGATTCCTTAATTTCATTCTCTGTGAGAAACTTCTGCACGTCACGCTGTTTTTCATTGACCTTTTCTGCAATGCCACGAATCAATATTTTGTTGTTTTCTGGATTAACAAGTACCTGTATGTCTCCTCGGTTGTTTATTTCACGGATGATATTTCTAAACACCTCTTTCTCCAGAAGCTCTCTCTGCCGGACTCCACTAATTACTCTTTTAAAATCTTTGTGAAAAATCGATCTTATCTTAGCTGACGATTTTATAAGGTCAGATTCTGTTCCCATGGTTAACACATCCCACTCGTCCTCCATCGAAATTATGGTGGATACGTTTTCCTGAGAAAACTTCTGTATAAGGTATTGCTCTATATTGAATCCTTGTGGGAAGCTCAATCTAATCACACTCGGAATAGTATAACGACATTCGCACACTTCTTGGTTAATAGTGTTTGTAACACGATCTTTATTAATTCGAATTTCTTTTCTTGGACCGCTCAAAATAAGTTTCATGTTCCTTTGATCTGATTTAATTTCTTCAGTGGTAACAACAATGTTGGCCGGAAGAAAATTTAGCAGGTTCTTCCTTTTCACTACTTCCCATTTTTTAGCAGGTAAATCAAGTGTTATTGTTGTTGCTTCAATTCCAAACTGCTCCTCATCTATGATTTCAAACAGGGTCAACTTTGCGGCATCCACTGAATTGTTCAATCCTACCAACCTAATTAAATTATCAGTGAAGTGGACTTCAATCTGCGTTGCCTGGGATGAAATTACACTTGTCTTACTTTTTATTACATCTAAGTCGATGTCTTCAGGGATGTCGACTTCTATAAGTGTGTAATTACTAATGAAGGCACAAAGGCTTCGCTCACACCATTCCTTCCGCTCAACCATTTCCAAATGATCGGACTGTGTAGATCCGAAGACATCAAACTCCAATGTTAAGTTGCCATCATCATCCATTGTCACAATTTTCGCCTTTGCCTTGGCGATAATTGTGTCAAACTGTTCTCTGTATCCGAGATGGTTATTGACATGGGAGAATATATGTTTGTTGAACGATACCTTCAAATTAGAGAGTATAACCTTTGGAAACTTGTAGAATGAGTATTGCGGTTGTACGGTAATACGTTCATTGTTTTTTGCCCGTTGTATCTTACGTATAACCATTTCCATGCCTCGAAATAAAATACATAAAATACAATTATTATGTGATAATGTTAAACTTAAAACATTCTTATATAGTGAATGAATGTGCAAAATTGATCTAAAAATGATGTTTACATCCTAGTTATGCATATTTCTAAACTTGTTGTTGAAATCTCACCAATTGATTCTTTGAAATATAGGAAAGCAGTTCTGTCCGCCATTGTCCATTTCACATCAGTTGCCTCATGTGAATATCTTAACTTGTGCACATCAGTAAGTGTCAGATGTGTTGGGATGCCAGTGATAGCCAGACACGTAGTCTTTTCAAGTCGTTGCCAGGATATAGAATTACCAAAGTCTTCATTTGCTTCTAATTCTTTTATAAGTTGATCAAGTTCTAAAATATAAAACTATAAACTGTGAAACACATAATATATGAATGACTGGGAAAAATTATATTTGACAAGAATTGGTGGAGATTGGTACATATTTACAAATGAATCAAGAAATATTCCTTGTTAAAGATTTGATATAATAACTACATGCCGTGATGTGGAAATTTAGTGTTATTCTTATATTCTGAAGAAAATACATATTACTTTAAAGGTGTAAATAATTATCGATGTGAAAAAAAACTGGTCATTCTTGTCAAAGTCAAGGTAAATGTTTATGTACAAGGTGAAAATAATACTATATACTGAATCCTCAACTGGTGACCTTTTGATATATATTATATAATAATTTATATTACTTGGATATACATATTCATGGAAAACGTAAAGGGATTTGTTTAAAATATACGCTTGGAAGTCTGCATATATCACAGATCAAGTCATGGCTACCTTGAGATTGTTTCCTAAATGTTACGACATATGCTGCTTCATCTTCATACGTAACTGACTTAAGCTTCATCTCTGGAAATCTTTTACTTAGGGTAGTTATCAGAACACGTTCAATTTCATTCTTGTTGACACTTTGCTGAAAAATCTACAGACAAATTATGTAATTATTTATCTACAAATCTATTGTGTCCAAGACTGTATTCAGCATTAGGTATCTATAGTTAATTGCTTACTTTCACGAATAGTCTTCTACAATCAGGTTCTAATAGAGTGATCTCTTGTCCTTCTAATATATCCTTCTTTCCAAATATTCGACATTCCTCATAACCTAATAATGAAGAAATGCATAAATGTTTGTTTCGCGTGTTTCATTTTATTTGTTTGAAAGTGAAAGGCAGCCATATTGGCTTTATTCTCTGACAAATGGTGGCATAAAATCCTGCAAAAAGAACTGGTTATTTGTGAGTGGACTACGTGGTTCAGGCAAGGACGTCATTGTGAATCAAATTGTATTTGGCTGTCCTATATCGGTGTGATCACCTCACAGTAGTATTACAATATTAATGATTTATAGTTCGAATGGACTATATTAATATTTTTCGTTGTCAGTTATGTCAAATTTTGCTGTCTTTTTGTTGGGTTCCCAGATACTGTGATCTTGTATAATTTGCCCAAATCCCGGAAAATCTCAGGTCACTCAATCGCTCAATCCGACTTTCAAAAATATGACCAAGAAGAGTTGAAGATTTGGAAAATTGCATAAAAAAAGTGCTAGAGCGGGAGAAATGTGCGGCAAAGCGCGAGACAAATAAAGTAGAACGAGAAATGTGGAAGTTAGCACAAGAAAGATTTAGTAGAATAAGAAAGAGTTAAGAAAATGAGGTATTACAACACAGTACTTATGAATAAATGCAATTTACAGTGCCATGGTAGAATATGTTAAACATGTATGTTATGTTATGTTAGGAATATGTTTATACGAAGTAACGAAAATTGGCACATTTACCTACAATGTTTGCTGGTACAATTAAGGGATGATTCATTGTCAAATATTACTTATTACCACAATATTTGGACTGTTTACCATTATGCCATAGTCCAAGGACATATAAATAGATAAAATAAACTATCACACATACACTTCATCTAAGCCTCTCCAAAGACGAATTATAATCAAAACAAAGCAGTGCTAATTTAATTTGTTCTTAAATGTTTCACCCACTTTCTTAAATGTTTCACCCCGTATTTTTTTTCAATTTGTTGTCAATTTGTTTCAGTTTGTTCAAAAAAAAGAAAAAAAAGTGTATTTCACTTTTTCTTGCTACATCTATACAAACAAACAATATACGGCTTTCATCATAATTCAAACATTGCTGGCCGAGTTCCAAAATGCATTATATCAAAATTAATGTTCAGGCACCTACCTGAGTAAGAACTGTATTTGACATATGCTCTGTTGGACAACAGATATACATTGACTTCAACATCCGAGAAACCCTTGCTTTCCAAATATGTCTTCAAGTGAGTTTCTGATTGACCGATAGGCAAATTAGAGATGATCACACTGTTTTGGTTGTATTCATCGCTATAGTCCAGACATTCCGATGGTGTAGTAGATTCTGAACGGTCTAGTAGTTCTAGTTCTGTGTGGCGTGTGTCTTGTTCAATAGCGGTTAACGGCGAATCGTGTTCAAATGATATTACAGGTGATCTAGGGACTCTCGGTTTTATAGGGGGTAGCCGCCTATCGTGTGTTGGATTGGCAATTCTTGTATTCAAATCTGCTTCTGTTATTTGCCCATTCTCATCGAAATCGTCTGGCTCAACAATCTCTCTCACGTGCGGTCGTTTTGTGTCTGATGAAACAATTTTCGGAAATTTCGGGACGTTGGATTTTTGTTTGCTACACATCTCTATTCTCTTATATTCATCTGTTAAAAAGCTGGAAATTTCTTCAGGTTTCAACTGGTCATCACTGAGTTGATTATTTGAAGACAAATGTTCAAATGGATCTGTTTTGTTGGCGTTCGCCATTTTCTGTAATTATATATATAGTTAATGCGTTCATGGATATTGCCAGTATAAAGGGTTTTCAATTATATGAGCAGAAATAATGTGTAAATTTAGATAATGCGTCATGTTAATTCACGATATTGTGTCAATATCCTCCTAACACCCGGTTTATGTGTAATGTTTACAAGTTTTCGGTCGTTATTATAGTCTTTGGACTTTGGATTAATCGATTAACCGATATATCATGCACCTTGCATGTCGCAGCAATGGCGATTGCCATGGTTACGGCAACCTGACACTGGTCAGTGTGTATATGCTACAGGGCATGTATGAGAGTGTGCCTGTTCGACAAAAAGGAAGCAATTGTATACTTCGCGTATTCACTTTAAAACACATACACAGTGTAAATCATCGTCAAAGGTGAGTGCTAACACACTATAGAATATAGAACACTATATATGCATATAATATCGACAATGTACTTACATTTTTTAAACCAGACGCTGCTGATGTAAATCTGACGAGTTCTGTCACCTTATATAAAACGGATAGTGTCACGTGAGTAGACCGCTGGTACCACGTGACGTCTAAATGTGTTGCAAAGTGGAAAAACACAATTAGCCGAGCCAAATTATAGTATATTATTCTAATTAGTATAATCACGTTTTCAGAACTAATGAACTGATGTATGTCGCTGTGTTATGGACACACAGCAACTGACCTTGACATGGTTGTTGCTATGAATGCAAAGTTCGGTAAAACTATTTCCGTCAGTGTGTACACCCCATGTCACGACTTCGATATGGCTACGTAAATACAAATTGCGTGCCCATGGAAACGCGTATACATACGTTTTAGACTGTTTTCAAAACGCTTTTGATCATTTGTACATATAGCATGTTCGTAACATAATATAGTGATTGTGTGTATTAGAAATGTTTTCTTAAAGTATAACTACTTTAAAGCTGAACCTCATTCCTAACATTCCGGCAACAAATGCTGTGTATGCCCCTCCAAAAAAGGCCATATACAATTAAATTGCGGGAAGTGGCACGGTAAGGGAGCCTGATAAGCTATTACCCATACCTAACATTTCGCCAAATGTATCTCCCAAATTCTTTCCTCGTGTTTATACACGGAATTTGATTTATTCATTCCCACAACTTCACTTTAAAATCGCATAAACCAGTGAACTGCTGTTTGAATTGCTATAAGTATTTATTTTGCGGTAACAGTAAATAAAACAGGTGTTAGAATCGTACGCGTAATTCCTTGTTCAAGTCAATTTGAATGCTTTCTTGAAATTTAGCGTAGAGCACGTTGTGACGCAGAATAAATCGTCGTAAACTACTATTACCGATTATACAACTGTTGATCCTGTCAACTTATATGTAATTTCTCTGTGCGTTATTGATCATTATTCAAAATTGTTAAATCTGTCCGTTACGAACAAACTGTCAGCACTTCTTTATTGATATGCGTTAGCTCTTGTAGAGAGATTGTAGCCTGTGGCGTCGATAAGACTTACCTACGTCTATACCGTACGGTACTGACTCTGCATAACACAACATATTTTAGTCACTAGACATATGCGTCGTAAACGAAAAAAATCGATTTCTACATGTTCAAATTAACAACGTGTCACAACATGACCCACACTGCAAAGTAAACAAACGAACGGGACTATTGCCAATTGATCACTAAATTAAATCCTTTATTTCTTTTTTGATCCCGTGATACGTGAAAATGAGCATTTCATCCTTAAACGCACGACCGAAGTTATACTTTTAATTCATCTGTAAAATGATATATTTAATAGGTTTAAAAGTTGACTCATAAAATATTCAATGACCAATCACCCATGAAATCAGCATGCCTCAGCGTTTTCCGATGGCAATTAAATAATGGTTTGTTGACCTTATAGTCATTCGTGGTTTCAGTTGAATAGTTATAAAAACAAGTTCTTTGCAAAACTGAATCACATTTATATCTTGCCATATTCAGGTATACCTACCTACCTTACCGTAATCCAATGTTCAGAATTAGATAGACTGGTGGGATTAGAGTCCAAGTAAGCCCTGATTCGGTGCCAATAAAATCGATTATCTTCACTTCACTCATATTTTTCGGTTTGAGAAATCAAGTTGCAAAATAAAGCTTGTCTAAATTTGGCCCTGAAAATTTCCACATGGCGCAACTGCCTTTTTGAACATTGTCGTTTAATATCTTATTGTTATGTAGTCAGTAGAGGTGTTTTCAAACGCTTAGGTCCAACAAAATTGGTGATTCAACGCACCTCACTCTTTATGGTCAACCGTTATAATAACGTGAGCGCCATCATAGTCGAGCATGTTAACATGATACAATTCACCAGAAAGCTCTGCTCGACTATAGATGTAAAACAAGCAGGTTTGATACTTTGCGTTTTTTTAAAATGGTGATGCCAGCGGCTGTATGCTATTGCATACATCAGGGAACACGTCAAGACTCATATCTGCATGTACCGACTTTTCCCCAAAAATATTGATAGCTTTGCACCATGATTCAAGAAATAATACCAGTAATACAAAAACTTGCTTGTGACCTTTAGTCTCCAAAGAGATGTTTACGCAGCATTGCCTTCAAATAGATTTGCTGTCACAATCATGGTAGTTTATGGTGAATTGTGAGTGTACACATTTAAGCATATTTTGTAGTGCAACAACAGTCTGTTCATTTTAATTTCTTTTTCTGTTTCTTTTTGGAAAGCAATTAAGTAATGTCTTCAGAAAATGGGACAGTTCTCGTTTCCAATATCCCTAACACGGTTCAAGAAGGTAACCTGTGGTACTACTTCTTTCAAGAAGAAAATGGTGGTGGTGAAGTCAGCAGTATCCAGTACATGCAAGACACGCGGTGTGCCTTGGTAACATTTGAGGAACCAGAAGGTAAATTATATATATAATTATGACCTGCAGTATGTACGTATATATAAATAAATCTAGTTTATGTAAATATTTTGGTGATGACTGGATTTAACTAAATTATTGATGCCACCCTTCATTTTTCCCACATGGCATATATTGCTGTAGAAAACCTCACAAAAATGTTCTCTTGTCAATTTCCACAACATTTAGCTGGCACTACTTTTGGCCAGTACTTTTTAACGACATTTCGATTGGATATCTTTCATAAAATCACAACACATGTCTCTGTAAAGTTACATTCCTATTTAGAGATAATAAAATTATAAATGACATTTTAAAATGAGTGTATTTTTTTTATTTAATCCAAGTTGCGAAAGGCATTGTGGGTATGACTCATGCAATCGATGGTGTTCAACTGAAAACTCTTCTGCTAACTGATCATGAGGGATATCCAGATTATTTAAAAGATGATATGTTGATATTTAAAGATGAGAATGTAGAAATTGAAAATACATCCCAAGAACAACCTGTATCTATGGAGACGAATGATGCAATGCCTGCACATGTATATAATGACAATACTCAAGAGGGTAACAAGGTTGGTATTTGTGGATACTTCAGCACTTGAGTGTCAGAATAAGGGGTTGATTGGACCAGAAATTGTTATCGAATTATTCAGCTTATCAATTTTGTTTTCTTTTACCATAGGAGATATTTTCCAGAGTTGAGGTAATGTTTCTACAAGACACTTTGGAACCATATGATAATATTGAGACGCTTATTCAGCATCTATCTGACGAAACACGCGTTCAAATTGAGCAAACAGGAGAAGGAACATTCAAAATGCAAGGGTCACTAGAACAAATAATAAAGGCAGAGAAAATTCTAAGAGGACGCTCTTCTGGTGAAGTGGGCGTGACAAGCAGTCATCCTAGTGTTGAGCGCAAGAGATCAGTAACCCACAAAACATACCCTGAGTTCGATACTACCATACCACATGTAATGCAACATACTACTGAGCGACCAGTTAGAGGATCACGAAAACAACATACCTGCAAACTTATGCAAGTGGACGATATAGTCAAATTGTACCTAATAACTTGTTATAAAGATGAACTACAATCGATTCAGGATCAACATGGTGTACTGATACTATATCGAGGTGATGAACATATTGGCTTTTATCCTTCTGCTTCAACAGGAGGCTATGCTACTGAAGATGCATACCGCAAATTCAAAACCTTATATCAAAACGTTGAGAAATCGATGTCTAAAGCAGAGTGTGAGCTTCAAGCACATCACCATCACCCTCTTGTTAGTGTGGTGCAACTTCTAAAGGCTCGTTTTCCCCGTGTTATGATAGAAGCCGGGAGTAAAAAGGTCGCCTTCCTGGGTACTGCAGAGGATGTTTATGTTGTTAGAAAGAAGTTTCGGGAATATATAGAGTTAGAAGAATCGGAATTAAATCAAAGAGTGAAAGCTTCCCTAAAAGAGGTAGATCCGTTCGCAGAAGAACCAAGCCATGTCGGTGGTGAAGATTATTTGCCCATATCGAAACGTACTAGATTGGTCGGTGGTGGTTTCATTTTTGATACCACTATACCACCAGGAATTCGAATACGTATTTATGAATGTGACATCACGCAAGAAAATGTGGATATCATTGTTAATGCTACAAACGATCGTTTAAAACACATTGGCGGCGTGGCACTTGCTATATTACGGGCTGCTGGAACACAGATTCAAACCGAAAGTGATGACCATATATCACGAAATGGTAAACTACAAGTAGGGGAGGTAGTAAGAACAAAACCCGGCAAGCTGAAGTGCAAAGCCATTCTACACGTGAACGGACCACGATGGAAAGACACAGATCCCGCTCAACGAAAGAATGTATTACTTTCTGCCTACACAAATATTCTAAATTCGGCAAACCGTATTGCAGTTAAAAGCATCGCAATACCAACCATCAGTGCTGGTAATATTAAATGTTATTTTATATGTTATATTTATAAATCATATTTTACATACAGACACCACAAGTGGAATGATGCCGAATTAATACTAACTTTATTTTATAGGCATTTTTGGATATCCAAAAGACATCTGTGCTCA